TAAAACAAGGTCAGACAACTTCTAAATAGTCTCTTTTTCATTCCTAACCGAGTTAGCATCCACTTTATTTCGGTTATATTACTTTAATATTGGTTTTAATTTTGTATTTATTTAATTCCTTCACAGAACTTCGACACCTCCAACTTTGACGATCTCTCGCAAATGATGTTCTCCCCTTCCCGATTCTCAAACATTTCTCACCTCATAACGCCTTCCAGCTCAATCGCCAACGGTCGTGCCGAACAGTCCAACGTTGCCGTCAACTGCTCCAACAACCTTCCATTGTTTATGATAACTTCTCCATCGGACGTAGCAGCGTCCTCAACTATCCCATATCCATCAACTGTCGAGCTATCCTCATCTGATAATCTTCCTAACGAAAACTCCCGTCTTGGGTGAGTTAAGAAGATGCCTTTAATAGGTAGATAAAAATAAAGGGAACGCAACGTCAGAGAGAGAGAGATTCTAGGGAAAAGCTTTCATATGAAATTATCTTGTATCATTTCCATGGCCTTTTTCAGTTTGACTAGGGACAAGTGACAATTGCTTGAGAACGTTTGTTCTACATACTTTGCTTGTACCTAATTATACTAGCATTTATCTTCTCTAAATATGCCAAATTCTTCAGCGAGCAATGATGTTCATAGTCATCAAGTTTCATTTTCCTTATTCTCTTTATGAATATATTAGTAATAGTATTCATAACTAGCTAGTGTCCTTATATATCAATACTTCATTACTTATGAGGGCTTTTTCCTCCATTAACCTTACGCCTTTATCTGCACTGACCCTCCTTGAATCGTCCTACCGTTTATTCATTCATTTACCACATTCATTGATTGTAACCTTTAAGTGTGATATAAGAGGTGTTCCAATTCGATTAACTTTACCAGCGACAGCCCCTTGAGAACAGATTATTTACCGTCAAACTCGCAACATCTTATGGAAAGCGCTTATTATTAATTCTTTGACTTGTTATTTAAGTCAAATCCTATCAGAAATCGTCGATTGAATCCAATTTCAGACATAGTCCCCAGCTGATTCTAATGCTGATGAAGAGTCAAATTTTTTTCGTGAGTGAGTTGGTTTTCGAGACTACCAGTAAATCAGTAATATGAGATGTCTTCACCCTATTTCGTCTAAGGTGATGAAGTAGTAGTAGTCGTAATAGAATTTTCCCACAATGATATCAGTTGAACTGACGTTTCCATTGCATTTCACATAGCCTTGCTTTCCCAAAA